CCATTCCATGATTCTATGAACTTTAAGGACTCTTGCAACCCAAATCCAGCAGCGAAGCGCTGCCCCGCAGCCTCAGACAGGGCCAGATCCCCAGGGACAGGGAACACCAGGGGCTGAGCCCTTCTCCTGAGCTGCCACCACAGGAGCTGACACCTCCATCCCCAGATGGGAGCATGGAAAGAAACCCCCAGGGGGCAGAGTTCAGAGGCTGAAGCGGCACGGACACCCAAATCTGCCTCCTCATACCTTTCTCATCCACGGCTCTGTTGAGGTCGGTGTCCCACTCCACGTCTTCCCACTTCCAGCCCGGAGGACACTCGATCTCATCCTTGGGCAGAACCTTCTCCCCATTCTGCGGGACACCATGAGGAACAACGTCCACCCATCGCCCCCCTCTTTGTGCAGCACCCCGGGGATCCACTCGATCCTTACCACATCGGTGTAGGCGTCAGCCATGTGGATCCACTGCCCGCCCGGCAGCCGCACTTGGTTCTCAAACACCTCCTCCACGAAGCTCAGGTGCCCCGCGTCCGCCTCGTGCAGCATCCTACACCCAGGAGCGGTGCTCATCAGTGGGGATCCCACCCCACTGCCCCTGAGCGCCCACCTCCCCAAATGGGAGCTGCAAACCTGGGGCTGTACCTTGGGTCGTCACCCAGCAGCCATACAACACCTCGACATCGCTGCACGCCAAGGATGCTCTGGGGGGGTGACCTCACCCCCAACTCCACATTTTAGGGGCTCCCACCCCCATGCGGTTTCACAATAAAAACATCACTCACGTTTTCTCCGGGCAGATGAACCAATCACCAGCCCAGGTCCAGCCCGTGGAGGGCTTGAAGCTGTCCTTAGGGAGCTTGATCTTGCCGGTGACATCGGAGTATTTGGGGTAAGTCAGGCCGGTGGTGCCCCAGTTCCCCACCAGTGCCAGCTTGGTCTGATTCTCGTACTGAGATCCCAGAAGAGATTTGGTGTTAGCAGTGGGGTGAGAGGTACAAGGGGGCTGTGGGCAAGCTGGTCCAGCAAGTGGCAACCCTGCCCGTGGAGGGGGGGGGTAGGGAGCTAGATGGGCTTTAAGGGCCCTTCCAACCCAAACCACCCCACGGTTCTAAGAAATACTTGAAGGACATGCAGGTGTGATGCTTAGGGACGTGGTTTTGTGATAGCAGTGCTGGCCCTGATGACCTCAGGGGGCTTTTCCAACCTAAAGGACTCTGTGACTCTATGAACTCGCAGCCATCCTGAGCACCAACTCGTGGGCAGAGCCTCTCGCACCCAGCAGCCCCCAGCCCTCCTGCGGGCAGCCCCAGCTTCCACCCCCAGCAAGAGGGAGGAGGATGGGAACCCGGATCCCCCTCCACCTCGCCGGTGGAATCAGCTCTTCTCCAGGTCAGAAGGGAGCCCCACAGCACCCACACCCTCACCAGGGCCCACCCCACACCTTGCCCCCTCCAGGAGGACCCGCGGAGCAGGAGAACGCGGAGCAGAGGGGCCCTGCCAGATGCTCACGGTTTCAGCAAAGACGGAGAGCCTCCCCTCAGCGAATTGATTGAACTCCTTCTCATCAACAGAGAGCCCGAACCAGAGCTGGACGCGGATCTGGGCTGGGATCCGTGGCCCCATCGCCTCCTCCTGGGGGTACTGCGGAAAGAGCGGCGCACAAAACAGGAGAGCGGTCCCAGGGAGCCGCCGCGGGGCGCACGAGGAGCTGAGCTCTGCAGGCGCGGGCAGAAAGGCCACGAACCTTCAGGAAGATGGTCTGCAGCTTGCCACAGTTCCTCCCACAGCAGCTGGGGCCACCACGGGAGTAGAGAACCTCGTGGGCCGGCACACGGGCGTAGGCAACGCGCCTCTCGCCCCGCAGCATCCAGATCACCACGTCTGGGAGGCTGTTCTGGGGCTGCAGAGGAGTGCGGGCGTTACAGATCGACGCAGACCCCTGACCCCAAGGATTCCAGGCCCCATCGCCAGCTCCCAGCCTATAGGGCTGAGCATCCCGGCCCCGCATCCCACCCGGGTCGTGGCTGTCCATTTGAGTTGGGAACGAAAGCAACACGAAGTGCCAGATGGAAGAACGGACCACGACACCTCTGGGGCTCGCAGTGCGTCCAGTTGGAAGGGATCTCGGGAGACCCGCGGCCCAACCTCTTGATTTAAGATCAGCTCTGGGATGTGACGTGTAAAAGGAAGCCCAGGAAATAAAATGAGCAAGTGAATATTCCAGCTACTGCCGGAATCCTGGTTACTGCTACGCCTTCCCTACGGTGTGCGGCCACGGATCTCTTTGGCACGTGAAGCCCCACTGACTTTCGGGCCTCCACATAACCTGCCACGTAAAAAGAAACCCAAATCTGCAGTGGTAAACAACCCAAAAGACACAGGAGTTACCTGAAACCCATCCTGCTGAGTATTGTTCCTCAGCCTTTTATCAGCTCTCCCAACCCTGATTCTGCACGAGAAGCCCCACAGCCAAGAGCTTTGTTGGCCAGCATGACCAGACAGCAGCAGTCAGCACTGTGAGGTGTTGGATAATCTAAGATTGGAGTTTGATAACGACTGCGATTGGAGCTAAATGACTTCTGGCTGTCAGTTGGATCAGAAGGTCTTTGGAGGACCCTTCCAACTCAGAGGACCCTATGATGATACTCCCAAAGGTCACTTGATTGCTTCCTGTCCCTCCACGTAGAGCACGTTCTGTGGGTGCCATTCTATTGGTGCTCTGGATTGAATCACTGTACGTCTCTCAACTCACTGCCCCCTCTCTCTTTTAGCACCAGGGCAAAACAAGCCAAGCATTGCCTTGGAAAGAGCGTCACAGAACCAAACCATCTGCTCTCACCAACAGCTCCCTGCTGAAGCTTCTCTACACCGAGTGCCACCACCCCACGAAACCTCACCCATAGGCAATGGTGGGGACTGGGACATCGCGGCGTTACCTCCTCAGCCATGGCCCGCAGCCGGCACAGCCAATCCTCCGCCTGCTCCAGCACGGCCGGCAGGCTCAGCTCCTCGTGCTTCAGCCTCAGGGCCGCCCGCACCACCTGCTCCAGGTTGGTGCTGCGGAAGCGGTACAGGTTCTGGTCCAGGTGTGTGCTGGCCGCCTTCCCCAGCACGTCGGGCAGCGGAACGCTGCGGGCAGAGGTGTGGTGTGAGCAGCGATCCTGAGCGTCACCCTCCTCCCAGAATCCAGGACCACGGGGGGCTGGAAGGGACCTCCGCAGATCCCCCAGTCCAAGCCCCTTAATGCAGGTTCTGTTGGTCAACCATTGGTCAACTGTTTGCCCACCATTTGTCAACTGCTGGTCAACTACTGATCTTTAGTCAACCATTGGACAACTGTTTGTCATCTATTGGTCAATCACTAGTCAACAACTGGTCAACACCTGGTCAACTTCTGGTCAATCATTAGTCAACCACTGGTCAACCATTGGTCAACTATTGGTCAACTACTGGTCAACCATTAGTCAACCATTGGTCAACTGCTGGTCAACCATTGGTCAACACCTGGTCAACTTCTGGTCAATCATTAGTCAACCATTGGTCAACTGCTGGTCAACTACTGGTCAATCACTAGTCAACCGTTGGTCAATTGCTGGTTAAATACTGGTCAATCACTAGTCAACCATTGGTCAACTGCTGGTCAACCACTGGCCAATTGTTAGTCAACTGCTGTCAATCATTAGTCAACCACTTGTCAACTGCTGGTCAACCATTGGTCAACTTCTGGTCAGTCATTAGTCAACCATTGGTCAACTGCTGGTCAGTTACTGGTCAATCATTAGTCAACCACTGGTCAACTGCTGGTCAACCACTAGTCAACTGCTGGTCAATCACTAGTCAACCATTGGTCAACTGCTGGTCAATCACTAGTCAACCACTGGTCAACTGCTGGTCAACCACTGGTCAACCACTGGTCAACCACTGGTCAATCATTACTCAACCACTGGTCAACTGCTGGCCAATTTGTTGATCAACTATTTGTCAACCACTGATCAACTGTTGATCAATCATTGGTCAACTGTTGGTCAACCACTGCCCACCAGGTCACCCAGGCCACGCACGCACAGCGTCAATTTGAGCTGTTGGATGAAGGAAGGTTTCAGCATTTCCAGCCCAAGCCATTCCACAGTTCTACGACCTTTCAGGATGTTTCCAACCCAAACTCAAGCCATCCCATGGCTGATTTTTAGGGACCTCTCCAACCCAACCATTCCATGGTTCTCTGATCTTTAAGGACTCTTCCAATCCAAGCCACTCAGCACGAGCTACCTGAGCCAGGTGCCCTTAGTGCTCGGGGCACTGGGTTTTGCTGCTATTCCTCTTCCCCCAGCTGCACCCACCGCAGTGCCTCGTCCAGCCCTCCTCCTTTTCCAGCAAGGAGCATTCTGACATCTCTTTGTGAAAAGGTTTGGAGAACACTTGAGCCTTTCCACCAGGACCGGGAAGCACTGGGGGCAGCAGAGCTGTCCTGCTGCTCCAAAATCCAGCCCAAGCTCCTTCTGAACGAAGCCCTGTGTGTTCAGCCACCGTGGCCCCACATCCACCCAGCGACCACGGAGAGGTCAGGCTGCACAGGGCCATTCTTTAGTAGAGCCACAGGGCTTTAAGGTTGCAGGAGACCTCTAGGATCACCAAGTCCAACCGTGTGTGTGGCAAAACACATCTCCTTTATGATGCTCGAAAGCAAACAAACAGGGGGCTGTGGGTACAGACTTTGGCCAGGTGAGCGCGTCCTCCTGGAGCTCTGCACAGCGGCTTCCAGGCTGAAAAGGAGGAGGCATCGCCTCCCCACCATGAAGGCCGGGGGGAGGAACATGGGGACGATGGTCCCAGCAGGTGTGCCGACATCATGGACAGCCAAGAGGGACAGATTTGTCCCCACGGTGGGACAAATCATCCATGTCACCCAACCCAACGCCTCCATTTCCGCTCCAACCACCGGCACCCAAGAAACCCAGCGCCCTGCATGGATGCACACACAGCACAGGAGGGAGAAAAAAGCAGCAGGAAACCATTCCTCTCAAGGATTCCTGCAACAAAACACGGTGAGAAGCGTCCCGGTGAGAGGTGGCAGAAATACCTGCAGTCTGCAATGACGTCGTCCATCAGCTGGGCTCCCAGGGACTGCAGCTCGCCCGGCGCGCCGCTGGCCTTGAGCACGAGGTGGATCTGCTCCAGGTTGGCTTCCTGCACGACAACAGGGCTAAGTGCCACGTCCCACCTCCCCGGTGCGGCCCCCCCAGCTCACAACCTCCCAGCTGGTTGGGCTCCGCTCGGAGCTCCCTGTAGCACGGCCAGAAATCCCACCCACCGCTCCCAAGGGGAAGGAAGCAATGCTTCCCCCGCTGGTTCCCCGCTTGGGTGAAGCACCCCACTGTCACCACGCAGGATGAGGGCGGTCCCCTCTTTTCCCACCCAGCTGTGTGACACCGTGCTGCCTGGAAGCCACAGAAGAAAGGAAGCGTCCCAGGTTTTGAGTCACACAGAAGAGGCATCGGCAGCCCCTGCTGTGGCTCCCACGCCTCAAACGTAACACCCAGCTCCCCATCAAGCCCCACACCGACCCCACTAGAGATAACTTCCATCCTCCAGCCCCCCACGCACAGAGGGATGCACTGTGTCACCAGGGCACTCACCAGCCTGTCTGCTGCGTGCTGGAGAAGGTTCTGAGTGTCGGTTCGGTAGCTGATGTCTTCCCAGTAGGAGGACAGCACCACCACGGGCTTCACGTTGCCCCAGGGCAGGTAGTAATACTGGCAACCTGGAGGGCACAGCGTTGGGTGAGCTCAGGGCACCGGGTGATGGCAGCGGGCACCGCGTGGTTGGGGCAGGAGCTCAGGGCCCGGCTTTTTTGGAGACCCCCATGTGCAACGAGGTCCAAAAGTGCCCATGGACCCATCTGTGGAGCGGTGAGGCCAGGAAGCAGCGGCACGACCCCGGTGTGCTGAAGGCATCTGATCCCAGAGCCCCATGGGAGCCTGGGAAAGGCCACCCCAAAATACCAACTCTCCCATGAGAACTAAGGGGCGTTGTTAGGGCCAAGGGGCTCCACAGGAACGCTTAATTCCTGGCTGCCCCCCTCCTTTCCAGTCACATCTTCCCACACATGCGCGTGCCTTCACACGTTGAGGTTCCAAAGGTCTCCAGTTGGACTTGAAGACTTTCAGTTGGGTTATGAGGCACTCCAGTTGGGTTTTAAAGGCCCCTACTTGGGTTCTGAAGGCCCCTAGTTGGACTCCGAGGACCTCAAATTGAGATCTGAAGGTCTCCTGTTGGGTTTTGAAGGCCTCCCACTGGGTTTTGATGACCCCAGTTCTGTTTTGAAGGCTCCCAGTTGGGTTTAAGAACCTCCAACTGAAATCTGAAGGTCTCCTGTTGGGTTCTGAAGGCCTCCTATTTGTTTTTGATGACCCCAGTTTTGTTTCGAAGGCTTCCAGTTGGGTTTAAGGACCTCCAACTGAAATCTGAAGACCTCTAGTTGGGTTCTGAAGGCCTCCTATTTGTTTTTGATGACCCCAGTTTTGTTTCAAAGGCTTCCAGTTGGGTTCTAGGATCTCCAACTGAGATTTGAAAGTCTCCTGCTGGGTTTCGAAGGCGTCCCATTGGGTTCTAATGACCCCAGTTTTGTTTCCAGCTGGTTACGAAGTCCTCCAGTTTGGGTTTTGAAGGCCTTCAAGGATGGAGACCCCACAGCCACCCCCCCACCAATGCACAGACAGTCCCCTGGTGCTGCTCACCATCGAACACAGCCCGGCTGTACTGCGTGGTGGAGGCCAAGGGCAAGCAGGTGTTGTCAAACTTGTTGCCATAGTTGCCAATGCTGACCTCGAACTGGATGGCATCGTCCACGTCCTGCAGCATGGTGGCCGAGTAGAAGGCAGCAAAGAGGGAGTACTTCCTCCTCCGCAGGTGCTTCTGCAAGAGGCACAGGAACGGGGAGGAGATGCCACCACTGCCCTCCTATGATGGCCTGACACGTGGCAGCATGGCAAAGCCACTGGGACGGAAGAGATTAACGCAGGAAAGGAGAACGTTATGCGCGTCGACAGAATTTGGGGTGAGATGTTTAAGAACAATCTAACAGAGGAGAAGACTGGAGCGACCCGCGTGGGAAAGGCAGGTCAGTTCTAAAGAGCATCAAGAGTGCATCTGCAACAGCACTCGAGGTCACAGGGGAACCCAGGCTGGAAGGGACCTGCGAGGATCACCAAATCCAACTTGCTGCCGACGGGATGGCTGCTCTTTAAAAGCGAATCTCCTGCACATCCACCCGCACTACGGTTTGCTCAGACAGAGCAAGGTGGGCACCCTGGGATGAAAACGCCCTCCAGGAGACCATCAGCTGCAAGACATCCCCCTTCCACGGCCAGCATCAGAGCGCAGCAGCCCCGTTACCTCCACCCGCAGGACGTCATCCGCAGAGATGTCCTCCACCTTCAGCTCCCCGTGCTCCTCCAGCTTGGTCTCCAGCTCCAGCAGCACCCGGCCGCGGTACGCGACGCCCTCGCCCTTGGGGTAGAGCAGGACAGGGTCAGCAGCCATCGCCCCATCCTTCACCCCCACCTCTGCTCTCGTTGGCTTCGCAGCAGAGGTCAGAGCGGCGGCGCTATTTCAGTGCCGGGAGGAGTTTAGCCAGCGGGGACGGAGCGTGCGGCGTGGGCTCCTGCTAACAAAGCCAGGCAGGGTTAGCAGAAGCAGGAAGGAAGGAAGGTTAATCTATTTCGGGCCGTGCTGGGAAGAGGCTGATTCACCTTTCCTAAATTGAGCGCCTCGTACGGGTCGGGGAAGCCGGTGAATTCGCGGGGGCTGCCGTACAAGTTGATGTAGCACGGGCCGAAGGTCGGCAGGAAGCCCAGCCCGTCGTCCACTGCACGGCACAGGAAAGGAGACGTCAGGGACCCATGGCGGAGTGCCACGTCCCCGCAAACACCTATTGGCCAGGACAGGGAAGGTGCTGGCAACTGTGCGGAGCATCCCTGGGCCGGGAGCTGCGTGGATTTAGGGCTGCGCTGTGCCACGAGGCAGCGCGAGCCGTGAGCGCTGCTCACTTCTGGACACCTCAAGCAAACGAGCAGCGAAGAGCCAGGTCCACGTGCACTGAGCTCCCAGCACAACACCAGACCCCGACCGCTCAGTGTGCAACGCATCGTCACCCCGAGACCTCCAGCACCGCCGCTGCCCAACGGGGGCACCCCAAAACCGAAACGGAGGGATGGCAGCGCAGCCCTTCCCCGGGCACCTCACACCCTAAAGAAGTTACCCAAGTGCCCACAAACCAAGAGGCTCTAAGGGGACGTACAGTCTGAGGCTTTCAGAGGCTTCGTGAGAGCAGGAAACGCATCTGGAGCGTAAAGAGACAGAGAGAGGTCAGGAGGAGGAGCAGGGAAGGCTGTGGGACAGGAGGAGGCTATGGGAAAAGCAGATGCTGTTGCTGGGGGATTCGGTGCCAACAGAGAAGCAGGGAGGCTGCAACACGGCCACGCAGCCCTCCAGGGGGGTTGCAGAGCACACAAGGACTCAGACAGGATGCAAAACCTCCTGCGCAACGCAGCTCTGCAGCAACCTCTTCCTATGGCCACAGTAGGAATGAAAGTCTGCAGGACCACAAGCCAGGAGGGACAGCCACCAAAAAATCAGAGCACAAGGCCAGGGGACGGGTGCAGTCACCGCCATGGGATGGATGGAGTCACCGTGCAGGATGGAGCGACCTCAGAGGACTTACAGAGCCACCGCCATGCAGAACAGATGTAGACACTACCATGGGATGGACAGAGCTACCATGCAGGGTGAATGGAGCCAGCAACCAGACAGAACAGATGGAACCACCGTCACCGCAGGACGGACGGAACTGAGACCGCACAGAATAATCAGAGCCACCACCATGCAAGATGGACACATCATCACGGGATGAATGGAGCCACCGCCACGAAATGGATCAACAGGGACAGCACCATGGAACGGATGGATCCACCATCAGGAGGTGGATGGAGATCCCACCATGGGATGGATGGAGCCAGCACCATGGGATGCACAGAATCCCCACCATGAGATGGATGGAGCCAGCACCATGGGATGGGCAGAATCCCCACCATGGGATGGGCAGAATCCCCACCATGGGATGGACAGAATCCCCACCATGGGATGCACAGAATCCCCACCATGGGATGGATGGAGCCAGCACCATGGGATGGACAGAATCCCCACCATGGGATGCACAGAATCCCCACCATGGGATGGATGGAGCCAGCACCATGGGATGGAGGAAATCCCCACCATGAGATGGATGGAGCCAGCACCACGGGATGGACAGAATCCCCACCATAGGATGGATGGAGCCAGCACCATGGGATGGAGGAAATCCCCACCATGGGACGGATGGAGCCAGCACCATGGGATGGAGGAAATCCCCACCATGGGACGGATGGAGCCAGCATCACGCCCCCACCCATGCCCCCATTTCTGCCCCAGTGGTCAGAGCCCACCCTGCCCATTCCCTCTTCCAAGCCAACGCTGAGCTCCAGCTGCGAGCACCACGCTCCCCAGGGCCGTGCACAGAGCCCCCCGTCCCACCCCCCACTCACCCTCCAGCTCCCCGCCGGGCGCAGAGATCTTGGACATGCAGAGGTAGGCGGTGCCGACGACATCGTTGTGCGTCAGACGGTCCCTGGAAGGCAGCGCACGTCTCAGCGCAGCCCGGCTGCCCCCCGATCCATCAGCGCATCCCCCTCCACGGCTCCTCCTGTTTTATGGGGTCCCACCCCATCCCCTCCCTGTGGCTCACCAGTCGGTCACCCGGATCTTCATCTTCTCACACATGGAAGGGAACTGGGGACAGAGAGGAGCAGTGAGCGGTGCGGCCGGGGGGCGGCGGGGCGGTGAGGGGTGGGCACGGCGCTCACCATCACCGGCAGCGTCAGGCACTGGTTCCACTGCGGATTGGCATTCTTCTCCAGGATCCTCGAGAAGAGCTGGAGGGGTGGGAGCAGGGATGGGTCTCCCCTCGGTGCTGGGAAGCCCCAGGCCCCAGTGGGGACACAACCGTGCCCCACTCACCGTCTTCCCAGCGAAGCCGACTTCCACAAAGGGGTCAACCAGGTTCTTCTTGTTGCTCTCAAAGCCAAAGATCTGCCGCACGTTGTCCATGACGGCGTCGTCCACTGCGGGGGGGAGAGCTCTGCTGGGTGGGCTGTGACGTGCAGCACCCATGGGTGCTCCGTCCCGCATCGAGACCGAGCGCCACGGCGCGGTGCCGCCACTCACTCTGGGGCAAATCTTCAGCTTTGAAGATCTTCAGGCAGAACTGAGCCCCTCGCAAGGTGACCCCCGTGGGACGCAGGAGGTTCCCCTCGATGTCTTCCTTGTCTTCGGAGACCTCCTTCTTCTCCACCTGTGGGATGGCCGACGGCTCAACGCGTCGATCCAGATGGCAGCTGGAAGCCCCCCAGCACTGATACTCACAGGAGCTTCGTCCCCGGGCCCCAGCACGAGCAGGCTGACCTTCAGGTACCCTTTTGCCCCCGCTGTGAAGTCCTCCGGGTCGGAGAGCAGCAGCCACCGCCTGAGGATCGCATGTTCTGGGGGAGACAAGGGGTGGTGTGATGGGGCAGCGCTGAATTCCCTCTGCTGGCCTCCTGGCTGCTAAGCTCCCCGTGTTTGATTGTCACGCTTGGCAGGGATGGGGTGGGAAACATTTAACAGGCGTCACTTTGTCCCTCCTTTATGGGCCTCATCCCAAAATGAATCCGCGTGGATACACTGCCCAGGAAGGGGCGGTGGGTAGGGGAACACCTCTGCCTTTCCTATGGGGGCAGACACAGAACTCACTGGGCTCCGAGTAGATGCTCTCAACGTCCATCTGTGAGACACAGAGAGAGAAAATGGTAGAATCAGTGCGCCGTGAAGGTCAGAAATGATCCCTGACATCTCCGAGTCCGACCACCGACCCATCACCGCCCACAGAAGCACCGAATCGTTCGGGCTGGAGAAGACCCCCCAAGGCCATTGAGTCCCAACGCCGACCCATCGCCTCCATGACTCCGTCATGGCATCGTCTGGGCCAACCCGCAAGGTCATCCGGTCCAACCTCATCACCCGTATGTCCACTCAATTATGGGATTATTCTGGTTGCAAAAGACCCCCAGGGTCATCGAGCTGAACCCCTCCTGTGCCCAGACACAGAATCGCTCAACGACGGAAGCATAAAGGCTGGAGGAGCCCCTCAGGACCCCCAAATCCAACCCCAACCCATCCCAGCTCCCAGAATCAGAGTCACAAAGGCTGGAAAAGATCTCCAAGATTGTAGCCCAACCACCAACCCATCACACGGAGACGGGACGGATCCCTACCCGAAACTCGCCGATCACCGCGTCCATCCGGAAAGAGCGCGAATCCAGGACCTGCAGGAGGAGCAGTGA